CCCTGCCATATGGCTGTCAGGGGCTGCACCACTCTCTGTGCCTGGGCCAGTCCCTGTCCTGTCAGATCCAGGAGGACCCAGTAGACCTGGTGGAGGGCACAGGGATGCTGTGACAGCCAGGGAGAGAAGGGAGGAAGGACATGGCCAGGAAAGAGAGGGTGAGTTCTCCCAAGCCTTTGCTCCTTCAATGGGGAGCTAGGGATGCCAGACCAGGCACAGGGTGGCTGCCAAGCAGGGCACAGCACTGCCAGCTCCTATCCCGGCCTGGATCCATGGACTGAGAGCTCCAAGACCCGGAGGAGAGCTGCTCAGGGAGAGGGGGACACTGCTGACCACTGCCTCTGCTCCCTCTCTCACGGGTTGCCCCAATCTCTTTATCCTATTACCCAGCTGGCAAGGTGTGCCCAGAGCACGAGAGGCCACATGAGGAGGAGAGGCTTTGCTGGATGGGGCTGAGGTTGCAGCCCTGGGACTCTCCTCCTCCAAGTGTGATCAGTCACGGTGCCCTCTGAGAGCAAAGCAGGGAAAGCAAGCGGGTGCTCAGACCCCATGCTTGGTGTCTCTTAACCCTTTACTGTTATAACCCCACCCTTTGCTCCTGGCTGGGGTGCTGTGCTCAGGCCAGGGGAGAGACAACGGTACCTCTTTGTGCTCATGGAGCTTGGTTATCATGACGATGAGGGGTGCCTCTTCTTGCCACACCATCTCCCAGAAGTCGGTCACAGTGTTCAGCATGGGTCCCTGGGTGGCAATGTACTCCTGGGGCCGCCCTGCGTAGCCCTGCCAAGCACGTGATCCATCAGTGATGCTGGGGGGAACCCTGATGTGTGAGGGGAGGCTATCTCCAGGCCATCCCAGCTCTCATGGTGCTTGTCTTCCTCTACAGGTGACAGGTTGAGCCACATGGGCTATTTCCTACTAAACCTGTCCTTGAAATGCTTTTATAGACCTGATCAGGAACTATCCTCTCCATTCTCCTGGTCCTACAAACCAGGAGCAAGTCCATGGAGCAAGCCATGTTGTACCCAAGTGCCTTGCAAGCATCCCCAGGTTACTGGTGTGACAGTAGCCAACATGATGGAGGCACCCACATTGCCCATAGCTTTTGGAAAAGTGAGTACGGAGCATTCCGGGCAGACCTTTACCACTTTGTCAAAAGAGATCTCAGTTAAAAATGCACCCAACCCCTGTGATTTAATCCAGGTCTTCCCAGCAATCCTGATAACAGCTTGGTCCCACAAGAAGTTGCACTGGCCCAGCCAAGAGGCAGGACCATTTTCAGCAATATTTTGTATAGCACTTTTCTCATGCCTCAAGATTATTTTTTTTTTTTCCTAGGAAACATAATTTTCCATTCAGGAGACTTGCAGCAAGACCTTGGGAATTTTCCCTCACCTTCTCCTCGTGCTCAAAAACATTTCATGGGATACAGTCAGCAGGTTTACATTCAAGCCCAGGTGGGGGCTGATGTGATCAAATACTTGCAGAGCTCTTCCAGACTCACTGTGCCTCCCAAGCATGCCAGAAGCAGGCTGGATTGCTAATTTGCTGATGTGCTCACAAATTCCTGCACCATGACACCCTTGGAGAGGTAAGTGGAAGGAAGGGGTCAGGAAATACCAGTTCATGTACACCCAGATGCATGTGGACAGGTTGAGGGTATCATCCAATGTGAAGCTCGCACCTCGAGCCGCAGCTCGAGTGCTGGGTTCAGTGTTGGGCCCCTGACTCCAAGAAGGACATGGAGGTGCTGGAGCGTGTCCAGAGAAGGGAACGGAGCTGGGGAAGGGTCTGGAGCACAAGTGTGCTGAGTTCCCGGCTGAGGGATCGGGGGGTGTTGAGCCTGGAGAAAAGGAGGCTGAGGGGAGACCTTCTGGCTCTGTGCAAGTCCCTTGGAGGAGGGTGGAGAGAGGTGGGGGTGGGTCTGTTCAACCAAGGACCAGGGGACAGGACAAGAGGAAATGGCCTCAAGTTGTGCCCAGGGCAGTTGAGATGGGATGTGAGGAAGAATTTCTTTGCTGAAAGGGTTCTGAGGCATTGGAAGGGGTTGCCCAGGGCAGTGGTGGAGTCCCCACCCCTGGAGGGACTGAAGAGTCGTGTAGACACAGTGCTGAGGGACATGGGTTAGTCGGGGACTTGTCAGTGTTGGGTTCATGGTTGGACTCCACGAGCTTAAAGGGCTTTTCCAATTAAGGCAATTCTGGGATTCTGTGATTCTATGAAGCTGCACAGTGCCAGGCTGCTTCAGGAAAACTACTCTAAAAGTAGTCCTCTGCTGCCCATGTTCAAACCCTCATTTGGACCAGTAAGACTCCCAACAGTTTTAGGCATGGTGCTCCTGTGTCCAAAGTCAGACTTTGACCCTCACTGCAGGATGCTGGCAGCTCACACTGTTGCTGTCTCTTTGGATCACACCCATGAGCATCATCGGAAAAGAAATGCTAATGCCCTTCAGCTCCGACTTGCACCCTCATACCACCTTCCAGGGTCCATCATATCAGAGGGCACTTTTGTGAGCTACTTTTCTGAGTCCCACATTCTCATGCTTTTTTCACTGCCATGCATTCAGAGTGGCTGCGGACCACCTCTGCTTTCCAGTGCCCCCAGCCTGTCCCACAGGGAAGATGGTAAAATGAGATTAATTACTCAGAAAGAAGCCTACCAACCAGAAAAAGCTTGTACCTCGCTGACACAAGAGCCTGTTTTAGGCTGATGTATGGTCCAGCACAAGTGAGACTGCAGCCTGGAAGGGTTTTTTTACACAGGAGAATGATTACCATAAATCAAGCTGCCTGAAGTAACACCCTTGGGCGTGGGGATTGCTCAGTCTCTGGAAAGGGGCCCCATTAGGTGTCAAAGATAAGCCACACCCTCCCCTTCATTAGCTTTCTGCTTGGGAAATTGCAACAAACTCCCTTGAGTGGAGAGGAAATTCCTGGATGTGTAAGGGTTGAACAGCACCAGGCTGCAATGCTTTGTTGATGCTCTGTGGCCTCCTGTGGCCTTCCCAGACAATGGACTAGTAAGAGATGGAAAAGCCACTGCAAGGAACCCATATGGGTACTCAACTTGCCCAAGCAGCAGGAGCCATGAGCAGCCACCTTGTGAGGCTTTCCCACCAAAAGGGTCAGTGTGTCTGCCCTGCGCAGATGGAGCTGCATCTCTCCAGCTCA